CAAATACAAACTAAAGAGTAATTACAGTAAAAGTACAAAGGTAAGATAACTATAAACTATTTTATATGCAATTAAGGTTTATAAAATACTATTAAGTACTATTTATAAATCTAAATAGTGTTGAGTGTTTTGACTTTTGAGTTCATAATACTGGTAAACCATGGCAGTATTTTAGCAAAAGGTAGTGCAACACTGCAACCTCTATAATTATTATTTAGGTATTTTCAGGATGGAATTTGAATCTGCTGGAGCAAGTCTATCACAGAGATATTATGAACCATGCATTCAATTGATACATAATCATAATTTATACGTTATATTTGCCCATTATATTTATAAACTGACAGTTAATAATTAATCTTTCACAGACTAATAAAATCATCTGGGGCCAGTAGTTCAAAGGCCTACACGGGCTTCGAACAACCGGCCCCAGATCACCAGATGATTTTATTAGTATGTGAAAGAGTAATAGTATTAACTGTCAGTTTATAAATATAATGGGCAAATTAGAGATAGAGTATATAAAATACTAAAGTAGGCTCATTGCCAGTTGATGGGTTATAGGTTAACCTGATAATGAATAAACTATAGATGGTATTGTTGCATCTCACTCGATGGAAATTTTAATGTTGGGTTTTGTTGATGGATAAATCGAGTACTTAATAATTTGAATTAAAATATGGACCTAACCAGGCCCTTGTTGCCTGAATCATAGAGATTATAAATAACAGTAGAGGAGGCATTGAGTTTAAAAATTGGGAACGCAGCTAATGGGGGGCAAATTCAAGTCCTGGATATATATAATCGTGCTCTCATTGGCTGATTTAAAACTTGTCACCAATGGGAACATGAATACACATCCGGGACTTGAATTTGCCCCCCAATAGCTGTGTTCCCTTTTTTTACTGAATTAAGATTACTTATTTATAATCTCTATGGGCCTGAATGGCATCTTATTCAAATCATCATTTAACTTGAAATAAAGGGATCTCCCTCAATTGATTTAGCCAGATGGCTCAAATGGCAAACTAAATGGTGTTATTGACTGAAGAAGAATAAATGAAGACTGACTGCATCAGAGTATCAATTTTCTGTCTGCATCCTTTTAAAAGTTCAACATTTTTAACCTTACATTAATAATAATGATTATTCAATTAAAGTCAACAATTTCTTTTTCATCCTGAGAACATCCAGTTTCAGTCCTCCTGAACTTGTTTGACACTCCTTGGCAGTGATATTTCTATAGATCTGCCATTATTTTATTCCAGATATGAACTCACAGGCCCTATATAAATTAAGATTAAATACATAGTGCCATTAATTTACAAAATAGACCTTTGCAATGTTTATGCACTAGTCAATTGAAACCCCGGTCCCTCGACCCCAGGGACAGGGCGGGGAATTAATGGGGGAATGGCAGTGGATTAACACAGTCTTAATGCAGCATTTCCTCTGGGGTACAGGACTTACAGGGTAAATAACAATTCAATTTATTAGCCAGGACAATTCCCAAGTCATGAAAATTTGCAAAGTGCTGGGGCCATAGGGACAGTAATTTTAACAGTCAACATTCCCCCGGTAGCGGGGAAATGACCAAAATTTAACATTGTCAAAATGTTAATTTCCCCGCCCTATCCCGGGGGTCGGGGTTTCAATTGACTAGTGCATTATGGTGGGATGCAGCCCCAATTGTATGTTTTCCACCATATTTTACATGGGTCATGCCATATTTCTTCAGTACATGGTCATTTTTGGATCCATGCCTGGGACATATCATAATCTTGAATCTATTTTGGGTATTCAATCATGTTTAATAGACATAGGCAGTCCACTTATGGACTGGTCATGCTATGTCTAAGTGCATGACTATTGCCAAAATAGCCTCAATCTACACAGACCACAACAAAGGTATAAAACAAATTACTTACCAAGTGATCACCCAATTGTATATAATTTGTCTGACATATTCATAGATCTTTATTTTTATACTTAAGTTTACACTACAAAAAGGATAAAAATGAGACAATAATTACATTTGAGCATAATAATGGTCATAATTATCCCCCATAGCCATGTGAGAAATCATAGCTACCTCCTTCATACCTTCCATGACAATTATAGTCACCTGCTTAACCAGGAAATAAAACTGAAATATGAGAAATAGCTAATTATTTAACTGTATGCACTCTTACCTACCTACCTATAATCTATCCATCACATATTATATGCAGTAAATACATCATTCTTGGTGTGTAAACTGATCAAATATTTGGTTGCATGACCTTGTTAAAACACAATAGGAATTGTTTATATATAGCAGTGATCAAACTTAAATTAATTACAAACAACAATAGGGACGGAAGGAGCGGAGGACGTATGATATGATAGCGTTTTTGACATATTCAAATTTCAAAGTTAAAAAGACTCTGACAGAAATTTAGAGTGTAACTGGAAAAATTTAAACAATATTTTGAGAATTAAATGTTTTGTTTATATTACGGCTTTTATTTATACAGTATGACCGTGGTTTCTTGTTTCATATATACTGAAAATATAGAGAAAAATATCAAAATGCAATGCCTATATAAAAGTACTATAAAGTTTGTGCGTGTGCATTTCTTCGTCGTGCACTATGAAAATGACTAAAATCAAAAGGTCGGGTTATTTTAAGCTTTTACAACTAACCTTACCTCAAAACAAGACATTTACCAAGTTATTTTCTTCAGTATTTTCCCCTCAATCTTCAGAAAAAACCACAAAGTTTAAACGACATTTATTTTGCTGTAAAAGCCCGTTTGATTTCTTGCTCTCGTGATATTCGTCGCATTCGTCCGTTTTGCATCCCAGCGATTTCGAAACAACCAATAAAAACAAGTTTTCGTGTTGTTCAAATCATTATTTTACCGTCTATTTATAACAATGCTGTTCACGGTTGTTCGAACAACTAAAAACAACTTGTTCTTTCATCAATGTTGTTCATGCCTGTTCGAACAATATTGTTGACGCCTGATGAATGAACAACGCTGAACAACATTGTTCTGACAACATTTATCAAGCATGTTTCATCAACCTTGTTGACGCTTGTTCCATCATGTTGCAACAACCATTGTTCGTTCATCAAGCGTGAACAAGTTGTTGGAACAATGTTGTTAACGATTGTCGCTTGAACAACGTTGTTCAGCCATGATAACAACATTGTTCGGGCATTGTTCAATGAACAACGCCGAACAACCTGATCAATTTTTACGCGTGTACAAGGCACCCCAGTGCGGTAACGTCTTGGTAAGCGTACCGTACGGCCAGAACGTGTCGTTAAAGATGGTGTTGGCAGTACCGTTGGCAAGAGTGGTTCAATTGCATCGGGAGAAACAGGTGTCATGGGATGTGTTGTTGGCTTGAGCGGTGGGTTGTTCCTTTTCTCAAGGAATGCTGGCTTGAGCCTGTTGATAGAGACTGTATCACGGCACCCATTCGTGTTGAGCGTAAAGAACTTGTCAGTTCGTTGGATGACTAGGAATGGGCCGTCGTAGGGTCGTTGGAACGCACTTTTGACTGCATCGTGCCTAACGTAAACATGTGTAGCTTGTTGTAATGCACGCGGTGTATAAGATGGAGGCAAACCGTAGTTTTGTGGGGGAACAGGACGTTGCTGGTGCATTGTATCCCGAGAAGAAAAATGAGAGATGACCAGAGTTTGGATTCAAATTGCCGGCCACGATCCGACATTATGCTCCTGGGCAGGCCAAACCGTGATTTCCAACCATGTAACAGAGCACGTGCACAACTTTCCGCTGTCATGTCGACCATCGGAATAGCCTCAATCCACCGAGAGTAGCGATAAATGCATGTGAACAGATAGGTAAACCCTCGAGACAGCGGAAGTGGGCCGACAATGTCAACCTAAATCTCAGCGAAACATGGGATATCGAACTTCTGGAGCGGCGCTGAAGTATGACGATGAATTTTAGATTGCTGGCAAGCATTGCAAGTTCGAATCCACCGTCGAACATCACGATTGAGACCGTTCCACACAAACCGAGCGCTGACGAGCTTACAGGTGGATCTAGCGCCTGGATGGAAAAATTATACATCAGGTTGAATATCTCGCGACGAAAAGACTCTAGGACTACTGGTAGAATATTACCCTGAGATGAGTCGCAGAGAAGTGTAAGGTTGTCATCGCCATCAAGGAAAACATCCACTAACTTTAAATTTGTTATGCCAGCTTTCAGGCACTGGGTTTCATGATCATCAACTTGTGCTTGAGCCATTGCCAGAAAGTCAATTTTGGTATAGGAGGTGGCATTGATTTGGATTCTGGAAGACGCGTCTGCCACTGCGTTATTCTTACCCTTGACGTGTCGCAGGTGGGTGGTAAACTCAGAAATAAAAGCCAACTGCCGGATTTGCCGTAGTGAGCGTTAGGTTGACCCACTTGAGATTGCAAAAGTCAATGGTTTGTGATCAGTGTACACGTGGAACACACGATCTTCGATAAACCACCGAAAATGACGAATGGCTAAGTAAACGCCTAGCAGCTCTCGGTCAAACGTACTGTAACGTGTTTTTAAAAGTCCGCTGTAGCTTGCGAGAAAAGAAGCCGATGGAGCGCCACTCATGATAGATAAATTGTTCAAGGACGGCTCCCACAGCTAGATCTGAGGCATCAGATGTTATACTGGTTGGTGCATTATAATGCGGATGAACCAACAGTGTTGCACTAGCTAGGGCGGATTTACAGAACTGGAATGCTCCTCGCATTCTGGAGACCAAATAAAATTGGTAGAGGATAATAGTTTGTGCAGAGGATGTAGCCTGTGAAACTTCTTCTTGTCAACAGGTTGAGGAAATTCTGCAACAGCTTGGATGCGGGATGAAAGAGGGGAAATCCCTTGGGCACTGACATGATGACCTACGAATGATAACTGTGAACGGCCAAGCTCACACTTCTTAGGATTAATGACTAAGCCGTAATGCTCCAGTCGCTGAAAAAGCTGGCGCTAATGGTGGCGATGTTGATCGGGCGTGGTGCTGAAAACCAGGATGTCGTCAATGAATACAAACACAAATTCCAGGTCACGGCAGACTTCATCCATGAATTGTTGGAATGTCTGGGCCGCATTGCGCAGTCCATATGGCATACGTTTGAACTCAAGAAGGCAGAATTGTGCAATGACTGCTGTTTTAGAGACATCCTCAGGAGGAACAGGAATTTGATGGTATGCACGAACCAGGTCAATCTTGGATAAGTTTTTACAACCAGCAAGGCGAGCAGAAAAATCCTGAACGTGAGGCACAGGGTCTGGTTTAGGGGCGCCAGTCACCGTTCGACTTTGGGACCATATGAAGTGGGGATGCCCAGTTATTTTATGATTTGCACACCGTGTGAGAAGACAGCATCTAGTCAAACTCGGTTTTTGCAGTTGCGGATTTTTCAGGAGAAAGTGGTTTAGCCTTCGCAAAAAGTGGGCGGTCCAGCCGCGATAATATGGTGCTCAACATTGTGCTTAACAGCTGGATCGGTGACGCGGAGTTTACAGACTACTGGAAACTCAGCAAAAATGGTATCAAACCCATTGGTGGGTTTAGCTAGCGATATGCGATTGAGAGAAAGGGAACGGAATGGTGAGGTCTGTGCAGGTACAATCATTGATGTTGCTGCTTCTACGAGACAAGAGTTGGCAACATCAACCAACACCAGAATATACCGCAGGAAGCACCTAAAATTGGTTGGTTCACTTCTGCAATGAGAAAAGAACATTTCAGCTGCCGGTGAAGACCAAGGTCCAGGCAAAGTTCACGCTTGCTATAGGTATGAATTGTCGAATTGTTAGCCGCGGTCAGAGAAACCCCCTTTCTGCAATACCGCTTGTCATGTTGTGTAGCTGGGAAAACACTGACCTCGGCACCTGTATCAATTCAAAACCGAGTTTTTGAATGTTTGTCCGTCACATACAACAGGTGGCTTGAGCAAGCCCAAGTCACGTGCGCCTCTACTGGTGATCGGGCTTGTCGTTTCCCGGCGCGGTATAGGTACAGGGTTGACGACATTTTGAAGCCTGTGTACCAAATGGGGTGTGATACCAACAGAGACCTTCCTTGTCCAACTTGGGATCAGCACCAAGTTTCCGTGCTCCAGTGTCAAGAAGCTTGAGAACTTTATTGAGATCAGATCTGATTGATGAGATTTCTGCTGACTCGGGTGTTTCAATCTGGGCAATGGATGGGCGAGCATCGCTTAGCTCTATCTTTCCATCAGCCATCAATGCTATAAGTCAGCCAACGGTTTGTCCGGATATGATAACAAATCAATCTGGACATTCGAAGGCAGGCGCTGTAGGAAAAGCTCACGAAGAAGCTTTTTGCCGGATGTACCATGTAATTATTGAAAGCGTCGGAGCAGTTGCGATGATTTTGGGTCCCCTAACTCTTCAGCCTGTAAGAGTTGTTGGATCTTTATACGCTTGGAAAGGGACACTCGCTCGGTGAGTGTAGCTTTAAGTACGTCGAACGGATTCGTAGGAGGAGCCGTAAGGATCAGGTCGCGAACCTCAGTGGCAGCTTTGGTCGATGAAGCTGCGACGACATAAGCGAATTTGGTACCTTGTGATATCATATTCTTCACCGAAAATTGCGCTTTGACTTGTGCAAACCAGAGCTCTGGGTCGGAAGGCCAAAATGGCGGAATTTTAACTGCCACCGCGTTCGTAGCTACGACGTTCGTAGCTACGACGTTCGTAGCTACGACGTTCGTAGCTACGACGTTCGTAGCGGCCGTAGGTGGCGGAGTTTTGTTCGAGTTGCTTGATGAAGAAGGAGTCTGTTAGTATTATTGAATATCATTCAGTCGGACCGCGGATATTTGAGTTTATGATCTACATTTCGTAACAACAACGTAAACAGTAAAACCATGTGTTAAAAGCAATATATAAAAGATGGCGTGACCTAGATATGACGTCACGTGCAGTTCTAGTTTTTTCGCATACATTAACATAATATTGACAGAGTCGTCATAATGATGAAGTAAATACGGGGTCACCAATGTAGAATTCACACCGTATATAGTTTAAAATATCTTTATTTTATCAACACATTTTGTTTACTTTTTACTTCTTTGTTACTATTTAAGTTTATCATAAATTAGTTCTGTCTGACCAAGCCGCTGACCAGGTTATATTTTGTCCCCACACGAGTCAGATATTAATTGCGAAAGAAACATTAAAATATGTAAATTAACCTACCTGTTTTGGCAGCCATTTTGAAAACCGTGTTATCGGGGCCTGGTAGCTATTAAGACCTAGGCTCCCGTGTTTGTAGGAGTATAAAAATAGCCTATAAAAAGACTAGTTTTTGCCATATTTTGTAAAATAGTATAAAAAAGTAAAAAGCAAATAAGTGTGGTTATATTCAATTCATTTTTAAACATCGTTTTGAACGTTAGTGAAAGCAGACAAGTACTTTACACAGTTTTAACAAGGTGAAATCACCCCAAAGACGTTACGGTTAACCATTGGTATTTCGATACATAGTTTCCCGAGAGATATTTTTAAAAGGTTCATGTCAAAGCAATGAGACACGGGCTTGGAAAAATAAAGGATAATAAATATTTAACTAGTTCCGTTTTCAAACCTTATAATGTATTAATCTTGTCACTTACCAATACATTGCATTTAAAATGTCATGATAAGACATGATAGCCGGGTATCCGAACTTGTTACCTGCTTTTTTCGAACTCTCCATACAATAAATGTTATTAAAATTGCAACGATTTTTGGTCCCTTTTTGAGAGACTCAAAACGACTTATTTGTTGCGAATCCCATGGACTACCTGATCACACATGCAATAGTGTAATCGGTACAAATTAAACTATATATATCAATTTATAATGAAATCCACAGCAATCAGATGGACAGAAAAATTGTTTGCAGCAGGAAGCAGGCGCAAAAAAATTGTTTGCAACGACAAAAGCATAAAAAAATTGTTTGCGTTGACGAAATGTCCATCCTCCCCTCCCCCAAAAATAATGGTCCGTCCCTAAGCTACTAGTACTATTTGTGTTATACTGCTGAATTGTGCACTGCTTGAAATTTATAATTACACTACTCTACTATATTCTGCAGTGAAACTTATGTCTCAAATATCAGCAACACTAGCTAGTTGTGAATATTAGGCTCTTAGATCGACCTCGTACCCAGGGCATTTTACCTCCGCGGCGTCGGCGAAAAAGGCCCTGGCCTCGGCCGGTCAGTTATGCAACATGATTGGTTAGCCGGCAAGCCAAATTAATTCGCGTGATAATAATTTATTCCATGTAATTTCAAATCAACAAGGAGCGATTTGTGAAATCTCAAAACTTTCGAAGTTAATATTGCAGATTTTTCGTTCAAATATGGCTTTTATTGAAGGTAAGCAGCAAGTTAAACATATTTGTATGCTTATTTATCTATTTATATAATTGGACACATGCTGTTCTGATGACATCACATGTATTATTTATAAGACGTATTAATCAGAGCTGAACTTATTATAAATACTGATATGGAAATTTGATACATCATGCATGGTATTTGTATTTGATGTCACAAAGATACAAAACATAGCTTATTTAACTATGTGCAAGATAAATGTATGTGAAACAGACAACACGATACAAACAGTTTGGCTTCTTAATACTGATTACTGGGTGTATCAGGTCTACTATAGTCAGCACCCAAACTGAAACAAACCGGTCACATTGCGCCGATTGGCACTTGGCAGTAGACGATGTACTCGATTTCTAATAAAAATGAACACGTTGCATGCTTAATTGCGGGGACAGAACTCATCATAATGATCAAATAGCTATAAAGAAAAGATAACACGTCTGACAGTATAAACAAAGGCACAAAGTGGTATTAACTATATATTTTTATACTGATGGTCTTTGTCATTTTATGTATGAAACATGTGTAAATTTAGAAATTTACATCATGTGCTCGGCCAACTGAACATGAATGTTATCCACATTAGTACAATGACCTACAGTATGTCAACGTATTAATACAGTATGCTCTGAGTTGTCAGATAAAATATTCTTATTGTATCACTGGAAAAAATTGAAAATCCATAGAAGGGAAATATTGTATGGACCTTCATTGGAAATAGAATGGATTTTGATTATCCATAATATTAAATTGCATATAATTCCATATTATGGATATATTATAAAAATAGTATGGATAAACTATGGATTTAGTGGTGCAATTGCAAATTTCATATTATGGATTTCACATTTTTTCCAGTGTATGTTACTCATTGCTACAAATCAACCATATTATTTAACCGTACAACCATGGGCATTTGGGACATGGGTACATACTGTATGTCCAAGACAATTTATAAATTAACAATTTTGAAAGGAAAGTTTTTAAGAAAGATTGGTGATAATCATGACAATTTAGGGAAAACCCCTACAAAAATGATGTGCTAATTTATTCAGGTTATTTCGTTTACAATTAATACCTTTATATAAATACAAACCCAAGTTGTCCTGTGGAAGCATTGCTCTCATGAATCAAGAAGAACTTTAATGTGTTAATAATTTGTGAAGGTGATGTTCCCAGGCCATTAAGATATATGTTACAAATTAATATCCAATGATAATGATGCTCCCATATCAATATGATATATGATACATTACATAAATATCCAACTTTGGGGCATATCTTAAAATATTTAAGGAGTGGCTACCTGATAAGGAACTGCATGCAGCTATTTATGTTTATGCTTTTGTCCAAAATGTGACATACAATGCACAATCCTCTTTAATAGTAGAAACCTAGCGGTAAGCAGAAACTATATAAATCGGCAGTTTCAGATCGATATATAAACATTAGTCACAAATCATATTTAATTAAATTCATCTTCTATAG